TCAGGTCTGCAGCGTGTCTTCACCTTCAGTATGCTCTCCTTGGCCTGGACTGTGAGCACCAGGTAGAAGCTCTGACCGTAGATGAAGTCTCTGTCAAACACCAGCAGGAGCTCGTCTTCAGGATAATCCTGCACAACACAACACAAACACAACACAAAACACAACACAATAAAACACAACACAACACATTTCATAGTCTGATCCTCTCAAGCAAATCTTAATCATTAAAGGAGACCTATTCTGCCCCTTTTGACAAGCTATAAATGCATCTCTGCAGTCACTAAAGTGTGTGTGTGTGTGTGTGTGTTTGAGCTGAAAATAGCACACAGATAATGTTCTCTAACTTAGGCTTTCATTTTTGGTGACTGTCTCTTTAAATTCAAATGAGGTATCATCATCTCATTTGACTTTAAATGTGTCACTATAGTGACAGATTCAGCTTTTGATAGATCACAAATGCAATTTTATTTTATCATTCAGCCCTAGTGTGTGTGTGTGTGTGTGTGTGTGTGTGTTCAGTTTATGTTCAGTGTGTGAATCTGACCAGTACAGCCTGTTTAACAGGGCTGAAGTCACACACTGCTGCTCTGTGTCTGAGGTCCTGAATAATGTCTTGTTTTTTCAGCAGTTTGTGTGGATTTTCTGCCGTGACGTCCTCATCTGCCCGACAGCCGAACAGCTCCTGCGAGACCGAGGTCAGGACCAGTGGGAAGATGTATTCGGGATGACCTGTGAGACGGTATATATTATAATCAATTAGTTTTGGTGTAAAATTGGCTCTACAGTGCAAAAGATAATAATCTTCCTGTGTATTTTTATATTTTTAACTCTTATGAAAGAGTTTATTTTTCATGTGTCCATGTGAAATCAAATATGTAAATGTTTATTTTGTTAGTTATTCTTGACGTGAAGTTAATCCACTGAAAAAAGATGTTACTTTTGTCAATCTTTAGTCTGAGCATCTGCTTCTGCGTTTGGATGAGATGCTTCACTAATGATGTCAGTTTGACGCTCCACCCATTATATGATTAGCCACACCCACCTTACTATTAGTTTGCTATGAGGTAATGATATTTAAACAGACAGCCCCGCCCTCGACTCAGATTCAGTTGGAAATACATCAACCTACTGGAATAAAGGTCTCAGCAACCTCCAGTTCATGTTGACTTTAAGTAATGGGAAAGTATATATTTAAGTATTCTTGATGTCTTTAGTATACTAGCATCTGTATGTGTCATATACTTATGAGTTAATTACCTGAATAGAATTTAATATATAAAATAAACTTTTAAGTGTACTTTAAAGGGGGTCACACACACCTGATGTGAAGTGCTACATTATGCCACACCTTTTAGAATTGTAAACAATTAACATACTATCCATCCTAAATAGTAGTCGGAAATAATTTAGTGTATCCCAAACTGTAGTATGTTGAAAAGAGTATGCCAAAGGTTCCTGGATGCTCTACTATTCCTATAAGCGTCTGCACTTGAACCACTAATGTTACCCACAAAACATTGATGTGAATTCAATTAGAACTACAAACTTAAAAAGTGTAAACAAACTACAAACATGGCTGACATGAGAGACCAACTGTGAAGTCGAGAGGCTTCGGTAAAGATGTTTGAATGACCAGCCCATTGGAGAATATTTAAATAATGTTTTCTGCATTATATTTCATCTGCATCAACAATGTGAACTTCTATAATGTTTGGTAATTAACTGAAGTGTGCGAATTGTTACACAGAAGCTGTTTTAAATCTGGTCTGTGATCCACATAAATGTAATAGTAGTAAACTTTAAGTGCACAAATAGTCTACAGTTAAGTATACTAGTAGATTACTTTTCTAATACTTGTAGAAAATAATTATTTGCCTTCCCAAAAAGAAGTTTACTTTGTTCATTTACTGAAGTATACATAAGTAAAGCTATATTTAAGTGTACTTTATGAGGTAAGTATACTAACATTTAAAGTATACATTAAGTAAAGCTAAAGTATATATTTGAGTGTACTTCATGCATTAAGTATACTACTAACATATATGGACTAGCAGTATACTTTTATGTGGATTACTTGAATACTGATTGGGACTAAATTGATACACTTTTTTAAACAAGTATACTTTTAAGTGTACAATAACAGTAGTAAACTTAATAAAATTACACACCTTGTCCAAGGTTAGGTTTAGTGTAGTAATAGTTTACATTTCTAATACTTGTAGTAAATAATTAATTTGCCCTTACGAAAAGAAGTTTACTTTGTTCATTTACTTAAGTATACATAAGTATATATTTAAGTATACTGCATGCAAGTATACTAAAATCTATGTAAAAGCAGTATACTTGTAAGTGTACTTCTTGAATACCTAGTACTGAATTGATAAACATATACTTAAACTATAAAGTATACTTTTAAGGGTACAATAACAGTAGTACACTTAATAAAAATGCACAGTTGAGTTTAGTATACTAATAGTTTACTTTTCTAATACTTGTAGAAAATAATTAATTTGCCCTTACGAAAAGAAGTTTACTTTGTTCATTTACTTAAGTATACATAAGTATATATTTAAGTATACTGCATGCAAGTATACTAAAATCTATGTAAAAGCAGTATACTTGTAAGTGTACTTCTTGAATACCTAGTACTGAATTGATAAACATATACTTAAACTATAAAGTATACTTTTAAGGGTACAATAACAGTAGTACACTTAATAAAAATGCACAGTTGAGTTTAGTATACTAATAGTTTACTTTTCTAATACTTGTAGAAAATAATTAATTTGCCCTTACGAAAAGAAGTTTACTTTGTTCATTTACTTAAGTATACATAAGTATATATTTAAGTATACTGCATGCAAGTATACTAAAATCTATGTAAAAGCAGTATACTTGTAAGTGTACTTCTTGAATACCTAGTACTGAATTGATAAACATATACTTAAACTATAAAGTATACTTTTAAGTGTACAATAACAGTAGTAAACATAATAAAAATGCACAGTTGAGTTTAGTATACTAATAGTTTACTTTTCTAATACTTGTAGAAAATAATTAATTTGCCCTTACGAAAAGAAGTTTACTTTGTTCATTTACTTAAGTATACATAAGTATATATTTAAGTATACTGCATGCAAGTATACTAAAATCTATGTAAAAGCAGTATACTTGTAAGTGTACTTCTTGAATACCTAGTACTGAATTGATAAACATATACTTAAACTATAAAGTATACTTTTAAGGGTACAATAACAGTAGTACACTTAATAAAAATGCACAGTTGAGTTTAGTATACTAATAGTTTACTTTTCTAATACTTGTAGAAAATAATTAATTTGCCCTTACGAAAAGAAGTTTACTTTGTTCATTTACTTAAGTATACATAAGTATATATTTAAGTATACTGCATGCAAGTATACTAAAATCTATGTAAAAGCAGTATACTTGTAAGTGTACTTCTTGAATACCTAGTACTGAATTGATAAACATATACTTAAACTATAAAGTATACTTTTAAGTGTACAATAACAGTAGTAAACATAATAAAAATGCACAGTTGAGTTTAGTATACTAATAGTTTACTTTTCTAATACTTGTAGTAAATAATTAACTTGCCTTTACGAAAAGAAGTATACTTTAACAGTCACAGTACTATTTGAATACTGATTGGGACTAAATTGATACACTTTTCAAAATAAGTATACTTTTAAGGGTACAATAACAGTAGTACACTTAATAACAATGCACAGTTGAGTTTAGTATACTAATAGTTTACTTTTCTAATACTTGTAAAAAATAATTAATTTGCCCTTATGAAAAGAAGTTTACTTTGTCCATTTATTGAAGTATACATAAGTAAAGCTATATTTAAGTGTACTTTATGCAGTAAGTATACTAACATTTATGCACTAACAGTCGCAGTACTACTTGAATACTGATTGGGACTAAATCGATACACTTTTTTTAAAACAAGTATACTTTTAAGTGTACAATGACAGTACTAAACTTAATTTAAAAAATACACACCCTGTCCACAGTTTAGTATAGTTTACTTTTCTAATGTGGTGAATAATAAAATTGCCCTTATGAAAAAAGTATACTTGGTTCATTTATTGAAGTATATATTTAAGCATACTTCATGCAAGTATACTAAAATCTATGTACAGGCAGTATATTTGTAGGTGTACTACTTGAATACCTGGGACTAAGTTGATAAACAGATACTTAAACTATAAAGTATACTTTTAAGTGTACAATAACAGTAGTGAACATAATAAAAAATACACACCTTGTCCACAGTTGAGTTTAGTATACTAGTAGTTTACTTTTCTAATACTTGTAGTAAATAATTTGCCTTTATGAAAAGAACTATACTTTGTTCATTTACTGAAGTATACATGAGTAAAGCTATATTTAAATATATGTCATGCAGTAAGTATACTAACATTTATGCACTAACAGTCGCAGTACTACTTGAATACTGATCGGGACTAATCTGATTCACTATTTTAAATAAGTATACTTTTAAGTGTACAATATCACTAGTAGTGGACACCTTGTCCACAATTAAGTTGAGTATAATAATAATTTACTTTTGTACCACAAATAATCAACAAAATACGCTCATTTCATTTCATTTCATTCAATGACTTTGTTTCTGTTCTCCAATATGGTCGACTGATGCATCACACACTATATATTAGGTTCCTGTACTGTGATAAACCTTTATTCAAGTCTAACAGGGCTTGTTGTTTATCACAGAGCTCTTCCTCTGGGTTTTCACAGGGCACTTGTGTTTGGCTAGTAGAGATTATGCCTTTAGATGAGCTATAAAACCATATTAGTTTCCACTGCCAGCGGCTGCTCCAGATTAAGTGAGCGCGTATCAGATGATGGCGGATATAACCTGCCTGTGCTCAGAGATATGGGGATGATTATCAGGATGTTTGTCCTGGAACACTCTGAGCCTTGGAGAGAACAATATTATATTGATTTATATGTACAGTTGGGGCGGCTCAGTGGTTAGCACCGTGGCCTCACAGTAAGAAAGTCACTAGTTCGAGTCCCGGCTGGGTCAGTTGGTGTTTCTGTGTGGAGTTTGCATGTTCTCCCCGTGTTGGCGTGGGTTTCCTCCGGGTGCTCCGGTTTCCCCCACAGTCCAAACACATGCGCTATAGGGGAACTGATCAACTAATCTGACCGTATGTGTGTGAATGAGTGTGTATGGGTGTTTCCCAGTACTGGGTTGTGGCTGGAAGGGCATCCGCTGCATAAAACATATGTTGGATAAGTTGGCGGTTCATTCCGCTGTAGTGATGACCTAATAAATGAGGGCTAAGTCTTTGTTCAGTTGAAGACAGAAATGTTCCCCAAGTGCTGTTTAGCAGAGCAAGGACATTTTTCACAGTATTTCTTAATATATTCTCATGTTATTCCTGTTATAGTTTTATTGTATTTTCTTGAATGTCTTGTTCATTTTAGTTTGACTGGAATAAAAGCAGTTTTTACATTAAAAATATTAGTCAGCATGCCATGATTTTGCCAAGTATGATCCTGAATTAACATCATTTAAAAATATATATATGATCCATACCTATTCTCTATCCGTAAACCCAACTATAACTGTAAATTATTCCCAAAATCAGAGGGGAATAAGAGTTGGATAACAATCATGTAGAAGTGCACAACCCTAACCATAAGTAGGCCTGCATGGTTTATCGGTATTATGGTAGTATCAATGATACTATGGCTCTAAAATACTGACAGTGCCACTGTCGTTTGTAAACGGTATCGTCATTAATGGTTTATCTATAACAGATCATGTTGCATGTGGAATAGTCACTAAAATGCTCACACGTTTGTGCAACAGACCATTTTATTTGAATAGTCTGTGGAGCCCTCTGAGGTTGCTAAACTGTGTGGAATTCACGCCTTTTATTTTAGTCTACTGCACGTTTTCTGATGCTTCAGTTCAGCACATCTGAATTGGTTCATTTCTATTCATGTTAATATGATTCAGTAGCTACAACAACCACGACAATCTCTTTAAAGAACGACTCACAAAGTGAAATTTGGAATTGCTTTGGATCGTAATCTGATAAGACTGAAAAAAACAATAGATGATAAACCCAAAATAGCAACAGGAGACATTGAAACAGTTTTGAGCACTTCATACAGCTTCATACATTCAGTTTGATCTAATTTGTATCTTTATTTTAATGTATTTTTGCTGGTCAGTTATCTACAAAATAAACAAAAATAATGAATACATTTTAGTTCAACTGAGGTGCAAATAATCATTTTTGATTTAAGGGAATTATTAATAAATTCAAGTAGGCCAATTATAACATAACATATAGGATTTCTGACAATTTTCTTTATGAAAAAAATGCGCAGATTTCCACAGATTTTTTGCCAATCATCGAATCTATTTATTTACTTCTGTAAAATTATATTTACATACTTGTTAAATTAATTTCAGTAATAATATTGACTAATATGCAAATGTTCTTATGATTTATTTACAATACAGTCTGTAAAGTAATATGTTCTGGCTTTTAGCACAGATACTATATGAAAGACTTGCTTAGTTTACCAAATAAGTGGATCTAACTGGATTTGCATTGTAAACAATAAATAATTAAGTTATTTATTTAAATAATTAAGAAAAGAACATATAATTCTTTATTTTGTATATTAAGTTATTAGTTGCGATACTCCCAAAATCATTCTGCATAAATTCACTCATTCATTCATTTTCTTGTTGGATTAGTCTCTTTATTAATCAGGGGTCACCACAGCGGAATGAACCGCCAACTTATCCAGCACGTTTTACCCAGCGGATGCCCTTCCAGTCGCAACCCATCTCTGGGAAACATCCACACACACACACATTCACACTCATACACTACGGACAATTCAGTCCTCCCAATTCCCCTATAGCGCATGTGTTTGGACTGTGGGGGAAACCGGAGCACCCGGAGGAAACCCACGCCAACACGGGGAGAACATGCAAACTCCACACAGAAACACCAACTGAGCCGAGGATCGAACCAGCGACCCAGCGATCTTCTTGCTGTGAGGCGACAGCACTACCTACTGCGCCACTGCTTCACTTCTGCATAAATTTTATTACAAAATAGCAAAAAATGTCTGCAGATTCTCTCTGGCCCTGGTTATGAGTTACAGTATCGCAATGCCACTTGGTATCGTGTTACTTCAGCTGGTATAGAATCGCAAGATTAATTAATGGTAGTGTGACAACCCTAACCATAAGCATAACTGAACATAAACAGTAAACATATGCCTTAATTCTGATTGGCTGAATGGAGTGTTGATCCAGGAACACGTCTTACTTGATCAAATCAGGTTGGTGTTTAAAGTGCGCCTGAAATAAAATGTCAATGTTTATGTTGCTAGCTTACTCTGTTAATCTTAAAGTGAACAAATAATCTGTGCAAGTTAATCCACTCAACACAATTTGTTTTGGTAATCTTCAATGAAGTCTGAACAATTGCTTTCATATGTGACTCCTTCTGTTGACATCAACCTGAGGGTTTCCATAGCAGCTGCATATTAATACCCCCTCCTTTTAGTTTGGATTGAAGGAAACCCCACCCTCTACTCAATATTCAGTTTTAGCTAAAAGCACATCAACAAACTGAAATAAAAGTCTCTGCAGCTTCCCGTCCACACACACTTTAACTCTTTTAACTGTGTGAACCTAAAAGTGATAGTAATCGTCTTTCTGAGAATGCAACCTGGTAGATGCAGGACTATCAGAAAGCAGGTCTGGCTACGTGCAGTTTGAGTCTCGCTATCTTTAATCTGATCTTGAAGAATAGAAAAGGAGCGGATTCCTGCTGGAAAAACTCCAGACAGATCTAATCAGAGCTTTTTCTGCAGGTGGAGTCTGTCAAATACCTGTAGGGATCTATGATTTTATCAGTCTATGGGGAATGCACACTGTTTAGTGCACTTTAAACTGAAGTTGCTGAGAGTTTTATTTAGGGCTGCTCAATATATCGCAAAATTATCATTATCATAATAATAGTATACACAATATACATAATATGGCATTTATTTATGCATCAGTTGCTTATTTAAACGAGCATTGCAGTGGTGCAGTTGGTAGCACTGTCGCCTCACAGCTTGAAAGTCGCTGGTTTGAGTCCCGGCTGGGTCAGTTGGTGTTTCTGTGTGGAGTTTGCATGTTCTCCCCGTGTTGGTGTGGGTTTCCTCCGGGTGCTCCGGTTTCCCCCACAGTCCAAACACATGCACTATAGGGGAATTGAGTAGGCTAAATTGTACATAGTGTATGTGTGTGAATGAGAGTCTATGGGTGTTTCCCAGTAATGAGTTGCAGCTGGAAGGGCATCCGCTGCATTCATTAATTCATTTTCTTGTCGGCTTAGTTCCTGGATTAATCTGGGGTCGCCACAGCGGAATAACCCAACCAACTATTCCAGCACATGTTTTACACAGTGGATGCCCTTCCAGCTGCAACCCATTACTGGGAAACATCCATACACACTCATTCACACACACATTCTTACACTACGGTCAATTTTAGCTTACCCAATTCACCTGTATCACATGTCTTTAGACTTGTGGGGGAAACCGGAGCACCCAGAGGAAACCCACGCCAACACAGGGAGAACATGCAAACTCCACACAGAAACACCAACAGACCCAGCTGAACAAGTGACATTCTTGCTGTGAGGCGAACATGCTACCCACTGTGTCACCACGTTGCCTTGCATCCGCTGCATAAAACGTATACAATGTACTGGATAAGTTGGCGGTTCATTCCGCTGTGGCGACCCCAGATTAATAAAGGGGCTAAGCTGAAAAGAAAATGAACGAGTGAGTGAATGAATGAATGTTTATTTAAATTTAACCAACCAAATCGGAGGCCTCACTGTCTTCAGCCCCACCTCCCCAGTAGCTGCTGTTCTGCTATTGGGTGGAGTCGAGAGGAACATCTTCATATCAGGTTTTCACTCACTCACAGTGTTTAAAAAAGAGAGAATATTTGCACCTCGACACAATTTGTTTGAATTATAATAAATTAGATCTGAAGATCTGTTTATTTTAATATCATTAAATGCAGCCCTAGTTTTACTTCAGTGTGACCGCATAATTGAGACTGTAACTGAATATTCTGTTTATTTTATTTATTTACTAATTATTTATGTGCTCTGCAAACTGTTGGAGGGGTGTGGTTAAGCATATTTCGCCCAATCAGTCATCAGAGAAGGTCCCAGAGCAGAAGCAGATGGACAGATTTTGATTAAGGATTAAAAAACTTTTTTTCCATTGAATTAATTAAGCATGGATTCATTGTTCATCTTAAGACTAATAATGTGTGCTAGCAAAATAAGTACATACATTTTGATTGAATGCAGACTTTAGAATGGGAGTAACTGCATAAGGCATCGTTAAACTTGACAAATTTTGCATGTATAAAATGTCTTATTATCGTACACTCAAACTCAAAGCCTCTACAGCACAACCGGTTCAACTTGAAGCAATTATAACGGAAATATATCACTGCCGTACTACAGAAATATTAGATATTTATACTTATAGAAGCTGCCAAAGTAATAATTATAATGACAATAATAAAATGTACAAAACATTGAAAAATAAGTGTATAAAAAAACAATCACACGTTATTTTTCTTCAGATTTAATGTTAGCAGCAGCCCTAAATTCATTAATCAAATAATTAATACTTTCAATTATCTATGCATTGTGATTTATAAGCATTGTAGGCAATACTAAATTCCTTTTCAATTAATGAAACTATTTTTCAGACAGTATTCAGAAATGCAAAAAAATTCAGCTTTAAAGATTATTATGATTAATTTTGAATAATTGATATATTTTAGGCAGCTTATATTTTCCTCTATATGCTTTCAGTTAAGCAGCATTTAAAATAATGATTTATTTGATATCATTGTAAATTTATAAAAAAGAAATGTAAAGCTTTTTATCAGAGGATGGTTTATGTCTTCATTTTAAAATGATGTGCATGAATGCAGAATGAAATATCGCTATATTTTATATGCTTTATTATTTTACATTAATTACACACATTTGATTGCCAACATTTCAATTAACCATTAAAACAAAGTCCAAAAAAACAAAAACAAATCAAACGACAGAAACTGACTGTTAAAACAACATGTAAAAACTAACTTTTCAGCATCATCTAAGAGTGTAAATTTGTTTAATTGATCACGGATATAATTATAAAACTGTCACAAATAAATGGCTCTCAACAAGATCGAGAACTTACATTGTAAATAGTATTAAATATAAAAAACTGGCAATTAAAATGCTATAAGAAGCTATAAACTCACCAGGTTCAGACGCAGCTGCTTCTTCTGGTTTGGGCAGATTATCTGCATTACTTTTATCTGCAAAACAACATTAAGACATGATTTCAATACCGAATGATTAATATTAAATCAAGTTTATAGCTACATTTATCTGTTTCATGGGTGAAAATATTAATAATAGTAATTAGCAATGTTAAACATAACAAAACAAGATTGTTTTCTTGATTTGTACAGAATATGTACTGATACCTTTGGTCTTTTTTTTGTTGGCCTCTTTGCTCTTGGGTCTCTTTGAGCTCGTGTCTGAAAGATAAGAGTCAGATTGTGGATTAAATAAGTATATTTATTAAAAGTGCATTAAATAACTTTTTCTAATAACACAATTTGAAGATCTATGTATAATATATGTGTATGTAATTTTAGAATTATACCCTCTCCTCCCATATATTTATTTATTTATTTATTTATTTGTTCTTTTCTCGTTCTTGTTATGGAATGCAATTTAGTTGTAAAATAAATCTGCACATGCTGGTTCTTGTTAATAAAGCAACAAAGGAGTATAAATATGTGTATATGTGTTGGATAGCATATTATTATAGTACTTTTAAGTATACTGTATTTTTGATTATCATCTCTTCTCTTTTGAGTCACATTTTGTGATGCACTGAATACTGATTTAGGGTAAAAAGTGAATATAAATAATTATTAATGTAAAAATGAGTTTTTGTTTATACAAGGGCGACATCTGGTGATTAGATATGATATGACAAACAATTTAATCTAAAAGTTTTATGCAAAATGTCTAGCTTTATTGTTGTTATTTGCTTTTTCCTTTTTTAGATGACAATAAAAGCTTAATATTTAGGTTTGTGTGAAATATTAAACTTTTTGGTTTTTATTATAATCATTATTTTACATCTTTTCTTTTATACATGACACTGTTTAATCTCTAGTCTTTGTGACAAATGTATAACATTATTATTATTATTATTATTATTATTATTATTTTAATCATTTATTTTCTTTTTTATATCTAGGTGTTTAAAAACTTTATTATTGCTATTATTTTACATATTTTCATTCTAATAACAAACAAATCACTTTCTAGGCTTTGTGACAAATCTAACTTCATTTTTTATTATCAGACATTTATTTTCCTTTTTTATATGACAAACAGCTTAATCTGTGGGTTTTATGGGAAATCTACAGTCAGCGGCCACTTTATTAGGTACACCTGTCCAATAGCTCGTTAATGCAAATTTCTAATCAGCCAATCCCATGGCAGCAGCTCACTGCATTTAGGCATGTAGACATGGTCAAGAAGATCTGCTGCAGTTCAGAGCGAGCATCAGAATGGGGAAGAAAGGGGATTTAAGAGACTTTGAACATGGCATGGTTGTTTCTGCCAGACGGGCTGCTCTGAGTATTTCAGAAACTGCTGATCTACTGGGATTTTCACGCACAGCCATCTCTAGGGTTTACAGAGAATGCTCTGACAAAGAGGAAATATCCAGTGAGCGGCAGTTCTGTGGGCGCAAATGCCTTGTTGATGAGGCCAGAGGTCAGAGGAGAATGGCCAGACTGGTTCCAGCTGATAGAAAGGCAACAGTAACTCAAATAAGCACTCGTTACAACCGAGCTCTGCAGAAAAGCATCTCTGAACACACAACACGGCCAACCTTGAGGCGGATGGGCTACAGCAGCAGAAGAGCACACCGGGTGCCGCTCCTGTCAGCTAAGAACAGGAAACTGAGGCTACAATTCACACAGACTCACCAAAACTGGACAATAGAAGATTGGAGAAACGTTGCTGCTCTGATGAGTCTCCATTTCTGCTGACACATTCGGATGCTCGGCTCACAATTTGGCCTCAACAACATGAAAGCATGGATCATCCTGCCTTGTATCAGCGGTTCAGGCTGGTGGTGGTGGTGTAATGGTGTGGGGGAGATTTTCTTTGGGTCCATTAGTACCAATTGAGCATCAACGCCACAGCCTACCTGAGTATTGCTGCTGACCATGTCCATCCCTTTATGAGCACAGTGTCTCCATCTTCTGATGGCTACTTCCAGCAGGATAACGCAGCATGTCATAAAGCTCAATCATCTCAGACTGGTTTCTTGAACATGACGATGAGTTCACTGTACTCAAATGGCCTCCACAGTCACCAGAGCTCAATCCAATAGAGCAGCTTTGGGATGTGGTGGAACGGGAGATTGGCATCATGGATGTGCAGCCGACAAATCTGCAGCAACTGTGTGATGCTATCATGACAATATGGAGCAAAATCTCTGAGGAATATTTCCAGCAGCTTGTTGAATCTACACCATGAAGGATTAAAGCAGTTCTGAAGGCAACTGGATCCAACAAGGTACTATTGAGCTGTACCTAATAAAGTGGCCGCTGAGTGTATAACTTTTATTTTTATAACAACATCAATAATTATAATTATACGTTTTCTTATCCTTTAATCTTAAGACATGTATAAAGTGTTTAGAAATCAATCTAAATCTCTCCACAATCCTGATTAAAAGTTTAAAGTTTATTTTTAAGTTAGCTAAAAGTCCTAATCGTTAAACTGTACTAAATTACACTGATGGTTTAATACCACTACATGATTATAATGTTATTTTACCACTGTGTGTCGAAATATACTGTATTAAAAAGCCCAAACATCACTTTGTACATTCACCTCACAGATAAAACACTGTCACGGATATAAAACCACACATAATTAACCATATAAGTTACAGCAGTTTTAGATGTAACGTTATCCACAATGATCTCAGTATAATTCCTAACCCTTACCTTTCATTGTAGAGCTTTGTGTAGGTATAATCTATTAAAAAACGTCAACTAATAGCTAAATAAAAACGTCTGAGCGGTGTTTACACACATCAGCTTCCGGCATCACAGCCGGTTGCCATTGGTTTCAGAGGCGGAGATTCGTGTGACTGACAGATTGCACGTCCAATTGTAGCGTTGTTCAGCTGAAGCACCGCCCCCCACACCTGCTGACTGACAGTCGGTCTGAAACAGCTGAATTCGGATTGATTTCAGATATTTGTGGACTTTAGTTCGGAAAGCAGACGCAGATGTGCTCGTCTGATCACACACTCACACCACTGACTGACAAACAACTGATCTAATTATCCGCTGGTGAGTTACCAATGAAACTCTTCGCATTTGTACTCAGATATCATGCTTTATTGAGGTTTTCTGACGGGAATGCTGTGAAATGTGGCGCTGTGTTTGAGTTCTGCTAGTGATCTTTGATTTGGAATTGATTTTAACACTCTTGTTCTCCGTCTTGTGTGTAATATTGTGTGTGTTTCTGGTTTATGTGGATGCCGGGCAGGTATGATTGTTTCACGTGATTGATTTTATCATGTGACAGTCAGGAATGTGGAGAAATTAATCAAAATCACCTTTCAGAATCAGTTCATCAAGTGGAAAAGCCGCATTACTGCACGTCTCTGTCAACCCGAGAGCTGATCTGTTTATTTACATCGAGATTAATCTGTTCACACAATAATAGAGCCTTTTCACACGGAGATGACGAGTTTAACACCATCTTAAATCCTCTTAAGCTTTTAAAGATTTTATTCATCTCTAATATTAATTTACAGAATTTTTCCATGCATTTAAAATAAATAATTATTATTATTATTTTGTTAATATAAATTCTAATGTCGGCTTTGTAATAAACCTTATCTTATTTCATGTGGATTTTATGTCAATTCTGAAATTGCAACCCGATTTTGTATTGTTTATGTAACTTATTTGTGTACAATTCCAGTATATTCAATTAAATTGCTATTATCTTTATTTTATTTTATATTTTTTTGCCCTCTTCACTCACAACTTTTAAAATCTATTTTACATGTCCCCAGATCAGATAACTTATTAATATTTCTTTGTTTTTTTTATTTTGGTACTATCAGGCCTGTATATCCAGCCTAGTGAAAGAGGTGGTTCTTTTTTCTCAGAAAGTGAATTTTTTTGCAGTTATTCACTTTATTTTCTATTTAAATATGAGATAAAAGTACTGTATTTAGGTGACATTTTAAGAACGTTTTTTTTTAACTAATTGGCTTGTCGGATGGTCATCATAACCTCACTTTTTAATGTACCAAAAATATTTACTTAATGTTTAGAATAAAGAAATGTGACACATTTATTTTTAAAATTCACATTTATCATTAGAAAAAAAAGTTTAAATTAAAACCCATAGCCTGTAAATTTATTAGGCAAATAACAAACTGGCCAGCACATTCAACTCTCCTTTTAATAATAAAAAACTAAAACATAATAATAATAATAATAATAATAAATATAATGTAGAGCTTTGCCATTTTTCTAGCCTCTCATAAAAAAACATTTGAAAATTCATGGATATTCAATGCAAAATTCATAAATAGGCAAAATATTCTTCAAATTGATTTTAATATGGGCTGCTTATGGTGCTTCACACTTTTTTATGGGTCAGGTTTTCTTCTGAAGATGAAGAATAAGTTGTCAAATGTTTTCTCTATTTTAAGATTAATACTGTGAAAAATGACTGCGCTTATGTCAGATGTGTTCTTGCACAGCTGGACATTGGAAAAATAATAGTTTGCATTGATTAGCTGAAGTCACACCAGGATTCTGCTCGGTCTTAAAGCCGTTTTCGATGGGTTATTTGTACTGTTTATGAAGGCACAGCAGTCAAAATAGGACAAATGAGCTCGTGAATGGGAACAATTCTGGACCTTTGTCAGGGAGGGGTGAGTCTTCTGAAACACTTGAACCCCCTCTGGCTACAGGCCTGATCATTGTAAATAATCTAATGATTACTATTACTTTTCCCAGAGATAGGTTGCAGCTGGAAGAGCATCCACTCCGTAAAAACATGCTGGATAAGTTGGTGGTTCATTCCGCTGTGGTGACCCCAGATTAATAAAGGGACTAATCCGAAAAGAAAATGAATGAATGAATAATACCAACAACAATAATAATAATAATAATAATAATAATCATCATGATCATTAATATTAATATTAAAGTATGATTTTTTTTCAATATTATCTGTAAAGGAAATACAGGCTGTATTGGTGCTGTTCACATATATTTCAGTGTAATATGGAGAGCGAGTCCACGTTTTTACCAAAACTAATATTGGATTATTTTTAAATGTGTGTGCGCGTGTAAAACAATATCATCTGCACAAATAAATGATGGGGTTCTTCTCTAAAGAAGTAGTTCCTCCACCCCATTAAGGGCAGGGGTTCCCAAACTTTTCAGCCTGCTACCCCCAAAATAACAATGCCAGTAACTCGCCACCCCAAACATCCTCTGAGGTGGTTATAAATACAGAAACCTTGCATGCAATGGCGCACACACGCCAGCAGACCCAAGTCTATTCTTGGTTTAATGTATGTCAGTGCTGTAAATGTGCCGGAAAGTTTAACCTGGTGTTATAAAATCCATCTGCTGCATCTGATGCTATTGCTGCGTCTGTAATATAATGTAATTACCCCACGGGTGCAGTCCAATAGAACTAGTAACAGAAGCCCCTATAGTAACTATATAGTATATAGCAGAGGTCACCAATCTCGGTCCTGGAGGTCCGGTGTCCCTGCAGGGTTTAGCTCCAACTTGCCTCAACACACCTGCCTGGGTGTTTCAGGTGTACCTATTGTTGCAGCAGCTTAATGTTGAAGGCTTGGCATCTCAACGCACGTTTTTTACGCACACAACCAATGTCCAGTCTTGCTTCCTCTTCAAGTTTAAATTCACTTTATTTAGCTTATTATAAATACATACTTGCAATTATTAATGGTGAACCCTTTAGCGACCTCAAAGGTGTGTGAGTTTGGTGTGGTAAAAACTGCCTGCGTTCCCTGGTTGTTGCTAGAGCGGATACGCTAGAGCGGATACCCAATAAAATGTATTTTTTTAATGCCTACCCCCACCCCAACCCTAAACCCAACCCTCACAGTACTGTTAAAATATGAATTATTGTTATACGGTGTCATAAAAAAATGCTGCTTTATTAATGTGCATATCGCACTTCTGGCTGGCCGCATATCCCATCTAGACTTTACCGCGTTCCCTTCCTCAAGTCTTCTTCTCTCATGCAAGAAACACCGACTTTAAAACCTCTATGTGCACATATTGCCCCCAAGTGGTGAAAGCCCAAATTACATTCAAGTCAACATATAGGCTGCGTCCGAAACCGCATACTACTCAGTAGGTACTGCATTAGAATGTAAACGTACTACTCGGCCGTTAGAAAAGTACGTTCTATACAGTATGAATGTGAAAAGTATGAATGGAATTCGGACGTACTACATCAGCCATTTTGTCATGGTCACGTGACCTACCTGCGTCAGTTGCGTCGCTTTACTTCCATTCATGAATTTGCTCGCGGGGCATCATGGGATAGCGCAGCATGCATGGGATGCGCACTCCGGAATCTCGCCGGAAGTAGTAGGTCATCCGGGTACTTCTCGCATACTGATTTTCGAATTCTATGAATTCAGACATACTAATCGGCTCGCATACTGATTTTAGCGTACTATATAGTATGGAAGTATGCGATTCGGACGCAGCCATAGGCTCCTACACCTAGTAAGAGCTTGATTAGCGTGTTCAGGTGTGTTTGATCAGGGCTGGAGCTAAACTCTGCAGGACTCTGGCCCTCCAGGAACAGTAGGTTCTGGATAGAGTATGGTGATTTTTATGGTTTAATAAAAATAAATAGGCGTCCCCCCTCCCCCCCTCCATTGTTGTGCGACCCCCACTTTGAGATCCACTGGTTCAGAGCATCATTATGGGCGTTTTACATTATAACTAACGTGGTAAAAGCGGTGGATCTGCCACAGAGAAACTTCGGGTTTTGGGAACACTCATCACTACATCGCTCCTTCCCCAAATGATGCATGGTACTATGATAGTTCAGCCGTGACTTACATCGTTGTTTTTGGAAACGCACCCCAGTATGGTTAGTTTTGATTTGATGTGTACTGTAAGAGTGTTTCTTCAGAGATGTGATAACGGTGTGTGTTTAGTGATGGACGACTCCCGTGAGGATTACTTGTGTATAAATGACCCCAACGGGAACTGGTCTGAGTGTGAGGCTCATGTGGACCCCGCGCTGGAGGCCTTCCGGAGGAAACTCAAGTACTTCTTCATGAACCCCTGTGATAAATATAAAGCTCGGCAGAGGAAGCCCTGGAAACTCTTCCTGCAGATCGTCAAGATCGCCGTCGTCACTGTACAGGTGAGAGGAGGAGCTGCACACACAAATAAGTATGTGTGTGTGTGCAACTTTGTTTGTGTACGTGCATGCGTTTCTTCCTCTGTGTGTGTTTGTGTGTCTGGTATTGATTACATTGTGAGTACAAAACGTCTCCATGAGTAACTGTTCTGCTAAATGTTGACCTTGTGTGCTCATGTTTTTGGTCTCCATAAAAAAACGTGCTCATAAATGCGACATAATGAAGTGTGTGTGTGTTTTGTGTGTGTGCGCAGCTGGTGTCGTTTGGTCTGAGTAATCAGATGGTGGTTCAGTTTAAGGAGGAGAATCTGCTGACGTTCAGGCATCTGTTCCTCAAGAACTACAGCGAGAGCAACACAAACACCTACGCCATCTACACACAGCTGGACGTCTACACACACATCACACACATCGTCCAGCAGGTCAGAGTCACACACACACACGCAGTTATGAAACATTACTTGTGTGCTATTTTGACGCTGCACTATAGGCAGATCAGAGTCTTATTTTACATGTTGTGGAAGTGGACATGTCAGGTCACCTTCAGGAAAACAGATGTGAGTCTGGTGTTCTCCCTCATTGCAGTTTCTGATGTTGCCGAGTATAACGGTGGGCAATCACGAGTATGAGCAGGAAGGCGATGTTTACACTCCGCTCTGCATCT